TCAAAATTCATGTTGTTGGCCTCTGCTAGTGTGTAAGTCTAAAAAAAATGACCCAATCAGTTTAAGAAACCTAGAAAGACCTACAAAGACCAATCCCAAAAGGAAGATGCTAAACCGGATGCTTCTGAGGAATTAATGAAATCCAAATGGGTATACTCAATAGAGACGACAATTAGTGCGACCGGTCACCACAAGAAGCTTGTACCTGTAGAACAGATCGATTTGACATTAGGTAAAAATCTCGAAGTGGAAAAGAGGACCATCTTAGACGAACAACTATATAGCGATAATGACATGGATGACTTCGGCTATAACCCTAATGACGAAATTAAGAATACACAATCGGAAAACGAGGATGATGAGGGTGAGTATGGGACAGATACCAGTATGCATACGATCCACTCAGAAATAAGTAGCAAGTCTCAGAACACTACTCAGGGTACTTTTAAAACGTTTAAGACATTTGTGAGTTCTGTCTCCAATATCCAAGGAGATTCAGAGCCTTCTCCTAAAGATAATAATAATCTTTAATGGGGAAAAAAAAGTCAATTTTAATTATGCAACAATAAACTGCAACAGTTTAGTGAAGACACAATCTTCAACAGTACAGTCGTCTTATATTCGTTATCTTCGTCTTCAACAACTTGATATTTTATCTCTGAAAGACACCCATGCTACTCCTTCTACCATACCTTCCCTTAATATCCAGTTCTAAGCCCAACAAACATTTTGGACCTACCACTGTGGTATTGTATCCTTTTCTCCTCACTATAATTGGAAGCATAGTAGTTTTATCACCAATTTACTGTTTATTGTTGCTTTTTCCACCCTACGCATAACCAAATATATTGGTGGATGTGAGCTTGTGAAACTACCAAATGGGGGTTTTGATACCAATTTTTTTGGTAATTTTTTCCATCATACCAGTAAAAAATACACTATTATTGTTGGTAGTTTTTCTTCCTTTTGAGCAAATTCCCCCCAATTTTGTTGGTGTTTATTTCAAATTATTTGTCAAATACATACTAATATAATTGGCACTATTTATCCTCAGGGTAAATTTTCCGCTAATAAAAACTGATATTCCCATGTCCCAATTGGATATAATATATGACGTGCGCAAACATAACAGGAATAGAGGACCAACGATTGGACATTCTTTATTTGAAAAAAAACAAAATAGGGGTGTCTAGATGCATAGATGCTTAAAATTGGTGAAAAAAACTACTAATTTTAAAGAAATTGGTGGATAAAACTACCAATTTTTTTTTTAAAAATTATTATATCAGATGCACATTATAGGTCTGCAACGTATTTTATTTAATTAAAATTTGAAAATGAAAGAATGTATTGATTGGAATGCTCGTCCATAATATAAGGCCCCTCGGAAATTGGGAATTGGAATGCATTTCTATAATTATCAACCTGGAATGGAATTTAGGAAATGTGCAAAATTAAATATGCACCCCTGAAAATATTTAAACAGAAAATGAGATCCTGCAGATTCAATAGTCAAAGCGTAATGCCAATACTTGGGGTAAGGTCTAAAACACATAATAACATTAATATCCCAAAAAAAAAAAAAAAAAAAAAAAAAAAATGAAAAAAAAAATCAACAGTACTCATAATCACATCTATTCTGACAAAAGTCTAGTCTGCAGACTCAGTTATAGCAAGTGTTACGCAATTGTGCCTCAGTCTGCTTGTGATGCTGGTGTAACTGTACAAACAATTTTTATTAGTTTGGGAAATGTAAAATAAAATTTCTTACCATTTAGCAGAACATGCCATAGATCAATAGCATTGCATACCTATAAAAGACAAAATAAAATAAAATAGGAAGAAAAGAAAAGAGAATTCAAAGCTAAAAAGTTTTTAAATTTATATTGTATAAAAAATTAGAGGAATGTTATCTACGTCTGGTACTTCTAACTTCAGTTGGTGCTTCAAGTTCTTCTACTGGAGCCTCTACGACGGGGGAAACCCCAACCTAATTTTATGTCAATTTGTGAGATTTATAAGGTTTCACTTAACTATTGAAAGTAACCTTACCCTTCGTCTTTCACTTTGACGTTGCCCCTTCATTGTGTCTTGAATGAGTAGATTAGCTGCCCATTTCTTGTTACACTTGTAGATCTGATAACCGTAATCGAAGATATCGCTTTCAAGTCTCAAGGCATAGTATGTTCTCTCTTGAGGTGAGAGACTTCCCTAACTGGTGGCAACTGTACCCTCCTGAATCATTGCATATCGTAAGCGGCGAGTGATGCTCCGAAACTGCAGTCTGATTTCCTTACATTTTGCATGGCCAATCTCTGCGGAAGAGTTACTGTGATTTTTTTTCCACAGATAGACAATCAATGCATCAATACGTGCGTTAGCGCAAGGTGTTTTGTTGGTGCGCGTTGGCTGGAACCCTATCCTTGCCCCTGGCAAGGTAGCTACGCTACTTCGGGCACCAAGACAATCCGGATGGGCATTAACTCTGGCCATCTCTCTTTCCTTGGCTACCAAATCAATACCTTGAGAGACAACTTGTTACACATAATTATCACTTAATTTAAAAAAAAATATAGTACCTGCAGTTGCGAAAGCGCGAAAATTGGTTACATTTTCGTTATTTGGTGCAGGTGAAAACTGAATAGCAAACCGTTCATCCAATCTCAAAACCGATGATTTGAGTTCAATTACCTCATTAAAGACAGCCCTAACCATATCATCGCTTGTGGATGTTGACATGATGCTTCTGCTAGAATTATTATTCATCTTAATAAGTTTAACGTTCAAATTAAAGGGACGAACAGAATACAATGATAAATTAAGGATAAATCAGCAAAAAAAAAAAAAAAAAAAAAAAAAAAACAATTGGCCATATAAATTTATGCACATTCTTTAATATATTAATTTCATAAATTGTCGAGCACAAGCGAGAAATTTTGTATATAAATAATTAATAGAAAACTGCTTGTCGTGATTGAGGCTATACCCTTAATATATGACTCTATATCAAGATCTACAATTTCCCCTGGATATTGTGCTACCAGACTGTAAGAGTAACAGAAAGAGATGTAAATATAGACTGAGTTTCATTTATTAGGTTATCCATATGTATATATGATATCTTAGAGTTACACACTCTTACACAGACATACACAGTTTAAGGATGATTGTTATTGTTATTGTCGTTGACATCGAATTATGGTCTTTTTTTTACAGGATTATTACATCCGCGTATTATCTGGATAAATCTACCCACGATCGTCATCAGCCCACCTGTTATTAATGTCTGAAATAATGTGTATATAAAGGCCCCCTTTTATTTATTTAACAAAGCCTGAGTTAATTTTTGCAAGTTGGATAATTTTCTTGTTTTTATTTATAAATCTTTACCCATTTCCACACTGCTAACTTTTAACTCTTAAATAACAACCAATATTACATTTCTGTTCTACCATGCAAAACCAATTCAAACGTATGAAGCTTTCCGTTCCTATCACGTGCGACCAATGCAATCGAAATTTCGACACCCGTGTTAATCTTCGTAACCACAAGCGTATTCATGCTGTTCATATCGAACCCAGTGTTGCTGTTCAAAATGAAGAAATCATTATGGTCGATAATGTGGAAACAGCCAGAGTGTCACCCTCGGCCAATACCTCCCAATCTAGTATGACAGTTGTGATATAATGGGCATACACAAAATCAAAATACTAATTTTAAACTTTATTTCCAGATTTTTTTGATCCTAACGAGCAGAGAACATTCAAAGCCTCTTGCAATTTTAGCCCTGGTGATGAAGGACACGTTTATGATGAAGCTTCTATCCAAGAGCACGCGTTTACTACATCACAGCTAATGAGTATCGAGTTGTATGATATCGTCACATCCTTCCAAGTCTCTTCTGAATGCCATCGTCAGATTGTGCGCCTTATGAATACTGTTATCAGAGATCATGAAAAATTAGCCGAAGGTACAGTGTTTCTTATACATCCATATACATACATACAAACAGTACTGAATATTCTATTAATCACAGAATATAACCCCCATATTCTTCATGCCGGTCCTGTGTCTACTCTTCTTAAGGAAAAAACAACAATCAAAGCTCATGAGTATGATATTCGCAAAATGTCTGTCAGCTCTATGATATTACCAAAGATGAAGAAGTTTGCTCTGTATGTCAAGAAAATAGATACAAAAGCGAGGTTCCTGGTTCCGCCTTAATTCCAGTCTAAACAATGAAGATAATGTCCGTTGGTGATCAGCTTTCTAAACTTTTAAGCCATGAGGAAACACGACAAAAGTTACGCTACCGTCATGATCGCAAGGAAAATCCAGGAATCATTTCTGATTACTTTGATGGCGAGGACTACAAGGCTTTAAAGGCTGCCAACTTTTTTCAGTCTCCCGAAGATATTGCTCTGGTACTCTTTGTCGATGGATTTGTCAATCAGAAAAAATCAAAGCAAGAAATGACAATTGTACATGTACTGGTACTTAATTTTGACCCATCTATAAGGTAAGGTTAGCTCTACGTTTTCAGAAGCTATTATTGACATAAATATTAGATATACAGATCAGTACATGTTTCAACTTGCCATTATTCCTGGTAAGCCTAAGGACTTAGATTCCTTCCTCTTACCGATTGTTGATGAGATAAAAAGCCTGGGTGAACATGGGTTGATTGTCGAAAGATGGAATGGTGAGAGAGTAAAAGCTAAAGTGCATTTGGTCATGGCCACCGGGGACATCCCTCAGGTAAGAAAAAAAAAAAAAAGAAAAAAAAAAGTCATAATCATACTCAGCTATCTCTGCAGGTCACAAAATACATGCACCATGCCGGGCATATGGCTACCTTCGGCTGCAGAATTTGCCTGTCGAAAGGCGAAAAACGCGAATGCACCGGTTTTGGCATGTACTTTCAAGACAGAACTGCGTCGTTAAGAACAATTTCCCAGTTTGTGCACGGAGATCAAGTAAGTTATTCAATCTATGATAATGAGCCTATAATTTAAAAATCATGTAATAGGCACACCAATTAAAAAAGGCCAACCTTTTCTCCGTGTTACCTTCCTTCTCTGGCTCCTCATTCTATGGCTTGGATGAAATGCACTTGCTTGGGCAAGGCATTGGACGATTTATTTATGACATTATTGTCAAGGCCAACAAAACAAATGACACAAGTTATTACGCCAAGAAACAAAATATTTTTAACAAGGATGGCTACACTTTTAAGGTTCCAAAAGCACAACTTGATCTGGTTGGAGCTTGTATTACCAGTTCCAGGGCAAGTATTCCTGTGTCTTTTCAGGGAAGTTGGGACAACTTGATTGAGAAAACTGACGGAGCCCGGGCAATCGACTTTTTGGATTTTTTGTTGTACGTGGTTCCAACTCTGTTGGTACCTTTGTTTCCCAGAACTGCCGTAAGAAAAGCACTAATTATGCTTTCTAGAGGTTGTGCAATTGCACTACAGTGGGAGCTTACGGGTCCTTTGATCCAGGAGATGGAAAGGTAGAATTACATTTATTAGATATATTCATGAACCTATTAAATTAACGCTTTCCCTAGTTGTTTCGAGAGTTGGCATGTATTTTTAGATCAGGAAATTACCAAAAAGAATATATCCAACAGCATTTTCAAACCGAACAATCACTATCTATCTCATATTGGCTACATTGTGAAGAAAGCGGGATGCATGAGATCTTATAGTGCAAGATCTATGGAAAGAACAATTGGCAAATATTCCAAATTAATCAAAAGCAAAGTACACGCTGGGAATATGGTGGAAAGACTCTCGATTCGTGGATATATCAATTTGGCTTTAGACACAGTCAGTTTGTTGGATACAATCACAGCAACAAAAACATCGTTGGATGATTTCATAGAGCTGCCGCTTACAGCAATCCATAACCTTAATCATCAGCTATGGAGCCCATTCACCTTATTTACTCAAGACATGGTCGAATCAGTCCCCATTGATACGTTTCTTCGAGAGCTCAAAATATACTATAGCCGTTCAACAACATCGCCTTTGTCGTATATCACCATCAATAACATGAACTTTAAAATTGCTGCTCGCGCACTTTTGTACAGCCATGTAATATCTTCGAAAATGTACCGTAGAATCCGATCGGAACATCGCCGTGGAAATCACTTTGTACTATTCAATGCAAGCTATAAATCGTAAGCATCTGTTATTTCTTAAATATGTGTAGGTTACTTACCAATTATATGTAGCAAAACTTGTTGGTACATTGGGGCGGTGCTTTTTTACTTCGATCACAACAACACCTCCGATCCTCAAAATGCACAATTCTTGGTTTTTGTTGAAGTAATGAAAGAACATTACGCTGCCGACTATGACAATACTATACCGATGATAAAAATGAACAGCGATAGTGCAACAACAAGACATGCTGTGATCAGCCTCAACGACGTCCAACATCAAGTAGGTTTGGTCCAGTCATCACCCAATTCACTTGAATATAAAGTTGTTGCACCATACAAGATCTTCAACGAAAACGTAAAACAAAATGCTGGACAACTAAAGCACATTTAATTATTCTTCAACACCAACCCATGCTTTTTTTTATCTCTTATCCACACAAACTTTTTTTTTTTACATATATTCTTATCCATATCCACATATTTTTAAAATAAATCTTTAACTTTCAAATTGAAACCTAGTTTGGGATCACACAATGATTGTTCAGATGTCAACAACATTACATTGATGAAGAGGGTCAAAAAAAAAAAAAAAAAAAAAAAAAAAAGAAAAAAGAAAAAAAAAGAACTTCAGTACTACCTCCCTAAAATCGGTCGGGTTATATATACCCCTTACCTAAAAATTGGTGGAAAAACGCTGGTATGCATATCAATCACCAATTCCTGAAGCTGAAAAAAAAACAAAAAAATTCAAACGGCTGTAACTCTTCCAAAATTCAAAAAACTTTCGTTTTAAAAGTTCGTGTGCATTGAGGAAACTATTCCGTAATAGTTTATAAATTAAACTAAGTCTTTTTTGCCACTTTTTTTTTTCGCACCCAAAATAAAAAAGTGAATAGAGATCTGATACGAGATATCATTGGTTCGCAAAAAAAAATTGGTGAATTTATGCAGATTTAGGTAATAACTGCCATACCTTGGATCATAGTGCGCAGGATGATATCATTACAGGGTTTCAACTACCTTCAAATATTAATATTGCCAGTATTCTTATCAAATGTCTAGCATATGCAGATGATGTTTGTGTGATAATACTAGACGCTCTGGAAATGGACGGTCTCAAATATCAAATGGATAAGTACGCTAGGGTGTCTAATGCAAAAATCAACGAAGACAAATCCGAAGCCTTTTCACTCAATGGTAAATATGATCGGGATTGGGAAACAATTCTAAAATCTAGAAGTATTTCGACCTACTATCACTAATCTTCACTTTCAATACTGAGATATCTTGTTCTCTACTTACCATACTCTGCCCTACAACGACAATCGCTGGAGAGTAAATTAGTAACTAGTATTCGAAATCAAAGCCACGTTTTCTCTCAACGACAGCTGTCTATCCAAGGCCAAGTTACTATCGGCAATATTTTATTGCTGTCTAAACTATGGTATTGTTTACGCCTTTTCAACCCGACTAAACAGTTCTTCAAAACCATTCGATCTACAGTCTACCAATTTGTATGGCAAAAGAAGAAACCAAGTCTACGTCTGGAACTGATCTTTTTACCTCATGAGCTTGGTGGTCTCAATGTATTAGACCCGGTAATCCAACATAAGATCCTTCAAAAGTGATGGCTGAACTATCTGCTAACACCCACCGGGTACCCATCATTTGTGTTTCCGATCATGCTTGATAATCTAAGTCACTTTCAGAATTCATCGTTGTATCCGTTACCCCCACTATATGATCCGGAATTCCGCAAAAGCCCTGTCCCTAATAAGCTCTCCATATTGCATGTCATCTTTGAAACGTTTGACTCTTTTCAATCAACAAGGATTCAAATGATAAATGTGCCTGTTTCTACTATTCTGGCTTTACCACTCCGCAAGGTCATTCAAGTTCAAGATAGTTCTCATTGGTCACTTAGACATTGAAACTTTGCTGCTGGACTGTTTTTGATATTTGATGAACAACAACAACGACTGTGCATACGGGTCTCGCATGAATTCTCTCGATTTCTACGGCTGTGTCAAACTCTGGCCAATGATATTTTAAGTAATCGCACTAGTAAACTTGAAGCGTTTGTATGGCCACAAATTCTTACCGCGCCTACCCCTTCGCTACCACCCGAAAGTTGGTCTTCTCACGACCTGGTGTCCCAGATGCGACTTCAACAGCTATGGAACCAATTTCAGCCTAACTCTTTCTGAAGGTACTATCAGCAGCAATGCTCAACAACTCACAACTTCCCAATCCGGAATATCAAACAGTTCTGGTGATGCCGTATGTTCCCACAGGAGCGCACTGTTTACTGACGAGTTTTTTCTAAGCGTACTACCACAAAATAATTGATGTTTTAACCTTTTGGTAACGTTTCCCCTCCATAATGCTCTCTCTGTGGTACAGCTGAGGAATCAACCATTCATTTCTTGGTGGAGTGTCTAATCAAGCGACAGATTTGGCACAGAGTACTGTCACACTATTTTCCGTATCTTGACTTTACGCCAACAATGTTGTATGAGTCAAATTGCTCCCTAAAACATCCGTTGTTTATGCAAACAATGAGTGGTGTCTCGCTATAGTCTCTTCTACTCTTTGGCAAATATGGAGCCTGTACTGGCTTCATGACACAGATAATCCACGGCCTTATCCTGTCGCCAATCTACCCAAATTTGCGTCCAAAATTATACAACAAATCAATAAGATTATTCACCCTTTCCCAAACCTAGATCAATTATCTTGTTTATGTTACATAATCCACAAACATCCGTTTTATCCGACTACTCCGCGATGTGTGATTTAATAAAAATGTATTTACAAAAAAAAAAAAGTTTTTTTTTTTTCTTTTTTTTTTTTTTTCGCTTTTCTTTTAAAATCAAAACTATGTCTGATAATGTTGTTTGTCCAAAAGAATACGCTCATTACAAGCTATTGCCCTCTTCCATTAAGACTAAGGATTTAAGCTGGGATTTCTTTCAAAAAGTAAACGCCAAACAGTGGGATTTCGAGTCTTACAAAGCTCACCAAAACATCGTCTCTAAAACCCAAAAAAACTTTAACACGTTAATCCATGAGTACAAAAATTGTCTGCAGCGTATAATTCAAAAAAACTTGGTTCCAAGCACACTTCTTGATTACGTAAAAGAACTAAAGGTACAGGTTTAATTATTGAGATCAAGTTTGACATAAACAAAAGTTGTCTAATTATTTTCTTTAGAATACGAGTTGTGTAAAAGACAATCAAAATCTGAACAAAGAGGATGCAACTTTGTCGGTAGTCTCCAGTGGTACTACTATTTTCAATAACATAAATAGTGGCCAAGAGCAGATCAACAACATCCATATAAGGAAGAGAAGGAAGCTCCGCCCTAGCAAAAACACATCTAAAGAAGTTCATGGTGACAAAAGCTTGGTTTCAAATGATGATGATGATATTGATGATGATAGTAATAACTTGTTGCCCGAAGGAAATGATGATAGTAATAGCTTGATACCCGATGGAAATGATGAAGACCAAAACGTAAGCTCTTCCGAAAAAACTGATCAAGATGATTCTTTCGACAGCGTCGATCACCACCCGAATGCAGTCAATTATTATGACTATCTCGTTGGGGACGGTCAGGAACAGTGGAGCTTTTCAACTAAAGCGGCCGCTACTTTAATACACCAAGGTCTAAACATCACAAAACTCTTACAGGAATATAGAGAAGCCTCCGTGGTTGCTGCTAAACATTTAATCAACATATCCGACTGCAGAATTTTGTCACTTTCATTTATCTTTCCTTTTTCAAACCAGAATATGCAGAAATCATTTACTCAAAGTTTTAAACAGCATCATCATATTATAAAGGACTATATAAAACCCTTGATCTTACAGCCTGTTCCAGATACTATAATACTATGGTGTAATCGTTTGGATAATTCCTTTGACCTAAATGATGACAGCCAACTGAATCAAGCCACAAAAGAAATGAAGGAAAAATTTGCAACAAAAATATCAGAAGCAGAGGACATCCACTTTTCAATTATCCAAAGAATTGTAAAAGAAATTCGAAGCTGGAATTCCCACAACACCGAGGATGATTTCATGGCGTATTTATATTTTTTATTGATGAAATATTTTCGGTCACCAGGAGCCCATATCTAAATGTAAATAAAACTATGAAGCGTCTATCGGTCGAATCATCCTACATACCAGATGTCAAGCTGTCATACGAGTATAAAAAAAATCAAGAGTTGGATCTGTGTGTGATTGAAGTGAAGAAAAAGTCGATTTCAAATACTCCAAATAAATCCGATTTCACGAAGATTCATCTCGAGATGAAACTAATGATCACAAAACTTATACAAATGAATGTCCATGACCCTGTTGTTTACGGAGTATTAGTGCAAGGTATGTAATGCATATGTATGTAATGAAAAATCGATGACTAAATTAGCTATTAGGGTTTGATTGCCAAGTCTCCAAAATGACTCTTGATGGCGATGGATTTTATTTCACTCCAGTTGTTCATTTTATTCACTTGCCAAGAGATGTCAATGACATCATGATCGTTCCAAGAGTTACTTCATGCTTTATCACCTTGAAGAATGAGCTTGATCGACTGGTCACAAGGATCCAGAACAAGAAAAAAGGCAAATCCCCTCTTCTCGCGTGGACCCGGCCTTCGTATAAAATGCCCGTGTTAATCAAGGACCCATTGAAACATCTGGTTGAAAATAATTGAATTAAAGCAAAACCCGTATACATGATTGATACAATTTGATTGGCTAGTATATTTCATTCGACAAAACCAAAGAATGTTTCAATAAAAAAAGTGTTTGTGTATCTTTTTTTCCTGCCTAAAACAAAGAACTTTAGTTGGACACAATGGATGACTTGTTAGACCTTAATTGGTCTTCACCCACATCTTCGTCAGTAAGACCATCTGCACCCAAGCCTCAAAAACCCAGAGATGCTTTTGCTGATCTTTTAAACACCACACCTAAACCAGTTGACACTTCAAAGCTTTCGCTTGCTGAACAACAACGTATGCAACAAAGCAATGGCACCCATTCTCCGTGGCTAACACCTACTCAAGCACCAGCTACTCTTGCTTCGGCATCTAGATCATCTACACCTGGTTACTCTACAACACCACCACCAGCAACCGCTGTTTACTCAAACTCAGACTTGACCCAATCCTCGAATAAAGCATCGTTTGAAAACCTGCTAAGTCCCTTTAGTGGTAACAGCACAAAGACACAAAGTGATAGAAATACGCCATTAAACCAATTGTAAGTCTTGGAGTTTTCTTTCTCTTATAGTAGTGTCGCAAGTAAAAAAAAAAAAAAAGGCCTAACCCCTCTTCTCTTCTTGTTTCAGACGGAACCAAACCAATTCAGCGTCTACTTCTGGAAACTCAAGTCAATGGGATTTAGATTTGCTCGATTCAAAATTCAATACGTCAACCACCACAGCACAGACACTTGACCCGTTTGATATGGATTCACTAGTTCAGGAAGCTAAACAGTTTTCAAACTCACCTCAACCATCGTCATTGTATGAAGAGGACGATAATCCGCTCGGTATTTTAGCCCAGCCAGCTCAACCCACCCGTGTCGAACTCTCCCCTGAGCTTTTACCCGTTCCAGCTTTACCTGCTTCACCAGTCAGATACACTGATGCCTCGATACTGGATGATGACGAAGAAGATAGGATGATTATTCAATTGATTGATATGGGTTTCAGTTTACAGGAATCCAAATTTGCCATTGAAGCAACCGGAAGAAGCAACCTTCAATCCGCAGTGGATCTTCTTATTCAGAATTCAGAAGCTGTCCAAAGACAACAGCCCACACGCGCTCCACCCACATCACAAGAAAAATTGACCGAAACAGAACGTGCACGCATGAATTTATTTGGTCAAGAAATAATAGAAACACCGCGTCAGCAAAAGGAACGAAAAGTTTCAAGAGCTGTGGAAGGAGAGACGGGGGAAGGAGAAGCTCAGTTCCAGACCGAGAAAATTGTGATGCAAGCGCAAGAGTTTGGTGGTTTCCTATATAAAAATGCCTCGTCGTTTTTAAAAACAGGTCGACAAAAGGTGACGAAAGCAGTAGGGGATTGGCAGGAACAACAACGTGCTCAACGTCTTCAACAAATGCAAGAGGAACAGGGTGGTCCTATTCGACCTAAATGGATGACAGAAGGGGAAGGAGTGGAAATTCCTACAAGTCAAGTTGAAAAATTCGCAGACGATGATGATAGTGATCGTGAGGTGGAGGAGGAGGATTTGGAGGCTGAAAGACGAAAACTTCAAGAATTGAGAAGACAACAGGAATTGAAACAACGTGAAAAGGCTGCTGCTGCACATAAAGCACGTCAACAACAAAACCTGCGGAAAGAAACCTTGATTAAAGAGGAAGAGGTTTATGTGTCTCCATCAAGACGTAGAGGAAATACACCATCCAGTAGTGGGAGATCCACACCTCGTTCTGTTGCATCTCAGCAACAACAACAACAACAACAGCAACAACCTGCTTCATCACAGAAACCTCCAGTTGTTGCTACACCAGAAAAAAATAAACGAACAAGACCTGTCGTAAATGCATCCTCTGATACCATGACCAAGGTCAACGAAGCTAGAAATCAAGGCAACGAAAAGTTTAAGTTGGGCCAATTTGGCGATGCTGAAGAAGCTTACACCCGTGCCATTGAAATTTTACCCGCCGGTCACGATCATCAAGTTTTACTATTCAATAATCGTGCTATGGCTCGACTTAAAACAGGTCATTATAAACAGTGTGTTGAAGATTGTGATGCTGCTATTGCTTTATCGAAACAAAGCGGAGACGGTAGCAGTATATCGGAAGGTGTAACAATTCAATGGCGTGATCAAATGATAAAGTCGCTCTACCGAAAGGCTGAAGCATTAGAAAACATCGAAAAATACAAGGACGCTTTAGCTACTTATGATGATTTGGTCAAGTTGGAAGGCACAGGTAACCCTAAAGTAAACCAGGGAATGTCAAGGTGTAGACAGGCCTTAAATCCTAGAAAAGCAACACCCCAACCTCGAAAGACAACATCCCCTACTCAAAAACCAAAAGAAGATTTTATGACCATGTTTGATCCTTCATCTACCTCATCACCACCAGCTGTTTCTGCAGCATCCGCAGAAGAATTAAACAAAAGTAAAGCAGTAACAGCGATGCGAGCCAAGGCTGCTGAACAAGAAGCGCAGGATGCTGAAAAATTAGAAAGAACCGATGATGTAAATGCTCGATTACTTGCTTGGAAGGCTGGTAAAGAGCAAAACCTTCGTGCTCTATTAGCTACTTTGGATACTTTACTTTGGCCTGGTGCTCAATGGAAAGGTGCTCAAATGAGTGAACTTATTAATCCTAAAAAGTGTAAAATGATTTATATGAGAGCTATCGGGAAAGTCCATCCTGATAAGGTAAGGAATTTATACCATCGTTTTATGAATTTTTTTCTGGTTGGATAACTGATACCTTTCTCCGTTTTTTTTTCTTTACTTAAATAGCTTCCATCAAATGTCACAGTGGAGCAAAAGATGTTGGCTAGTGGCATATTTGCAGTTCTGAACGAAGCTTGGGATTCATTTAAAGGACAAAATAATTTGTAATAAAACCTTAAATCGTTCTGATCTAAGTTATATCTACGAGGATAATGCAATGGTGTTGTAGTACTGACAAAGTTAACAAGGGTATTGTAAACTGTAGCGTTTGAATTAAACAAAATGTTAGTTACATAAGCGTGGGTGATCGATTAGCCCCTTGAAAAAAAAAGTGCAGTGGATTCAAACATAAATATTAGTTTTTGCTTAAACTTGATCCGCATTTGTCATGATACTATCATTCCTTCAAGAATGTACGGCTCTGATACCATGTCTTCTTATCATGCGCATAATTTCTAAATCCCGCCTGATATCTGTTTCATCCGTTAAGGTTTATATACGTCGATTATTATTGCTTCTAAACCAAGCTGTCTAGATAAATTTAAAAAAAAAAATTAAGTTCACGTATAGTGAGCAAATAATGATTAACATTTGAGAAGAAAATAAGAATAAAATTTAAGAAAACTTTGTCAGAGTAGTAAATCGGTTGAAATCGATAAGTTTCGCTTGTAAACTCGCTTTTACCTGGGTGTCGTTGATAAGCTTTAATAGAAGGGGCATAGTTTCAGGTATTCTGAATCATTGCTCACCAACTTATTATAAAAGTAGCAACTATTCATTCTTTTCTAGCTTGATCAATTAACTTCTATTTTCCTATAAAGAAGTTATTATTAGAAAATGTCAGCTGAAAATACTACTACTGCCTGGGCCGGTGTTGCTAACGGCAAGCCCCTTACAAAGATGGAATTGACACTGAAGCAATGGGATGATGATTCCGTCAACTTGGATGTCACTCATTGTGGTATTTGTGGCTCTGATGTTCACACTTTAGACGAAGGATGGGGACCTACAGACTTCCCTTGTGTGGTCGGTCATGAGATTGCAGGTGTTGTCACCAAAGTAGGCAAGAATGTCACAAATGTCAAGGTGGGAGACCGTGCTGGTGTTGGTGCACAATCTGGAGCCTGCCACAAATGTGAAATGTGTTTAGACGGCCAAGAAAACGTGTGTCAAGGAGGTATCGTTTATACCTACAGCTCTAAATGGCCTTCTGGTGACAAATCTCTTGGTGGCTATGCTGATAAATGGAGAGGTGATTACCGTTTCGTATTCAAGATTCCTGACAACTTAACAAATGAAACTGCTGCTACTTTCTTCTGCGCTGGTATCACTACATTTGCCCCGCTAAGTCGTGCCAACATCATCCCAGGCAAGTCCGTCGTGGGTATCATGGGTATTGGTGGTCTGGGTCATTTTGGTGTTCAGTTTGCCAAGGGTATGGGTGCTAAAGTTGTTGCTATATCTCAGAGTGAGCGCAAGCGTGATGTAGCTAAAGAGCTTGGCTGCGATGATTACATCAATGCACAAAATAAAGAGGATATGGAGAAGCATGATAGTACATTAACACACATCCTCTGTACTGGTAATGGTCCCGATTTCCAATGTAAGTCTTTAAATTCCTTGGGAAGTCTTATCTGATCGTATATCTAACAATCACGTGTATATATAGGGAGAACCTATTTTGCTCTCATGAAGCCAAATGGTCATTTCATCAACGTCAGTGCTCCCGATTGGGATTTCCCAGGCATGAATGCCTTTGATTTACTTTTAAAGCAAATTCATATTTCAGGCTCTGGTATCGGATCCCCCAAAGAAATGGAAAAGATGCTTCAATTTGCAGCCGATAAGAATATTAAGCCATGGATTCAAAAATACAAAATGGATGATGTGAATCAAGCCATAAAGGATTTTAGAGCTGGAAAGCCCAGATTCAGATACGTCTTAGTAAATTAAATCATTTTATCATGAAATTGTATAAATATAATGTAAATAAAAATTATGCGTTTGTTTTGAACCAAATAACTATATTGATTTAAAAATAAGCGATAGTCAATTGTTCACCAATAACTACACACTTTTTTATGTCTTCAGAAATGTCACCATCTCCTGTCATTCTTAACGAAAATTGGACAGAAGAGGTATCATTTAGATGTTTCATTTCTAATATAATTTGAGTATGAAATACTCTTTTGTCAGTCTCAAGTAAGAAAAAAAATATTCGGTCGTAAGGCTGTTCAACCAAAGAGACAATGTCTTTCGAGTTGTTATGGTCTTGCGGTTTGAGCTTGACCAGGGCTAAAATAAACAGACAAACAAAAAATTAACTTGATTCTAAACAAAAACTAGTATAGTCGTTACCAAGATCCAAAGAATACTCAAGTGCATCTTCGCTCTCTTCCTCGCGTTTTTTGAGATCCAGTTTTATTGTGTGAACTGGGTCTTCAACTGACTGTCCCCTGCGAAGTACAACCAAAGCCGAATCTTTACCACCGACAATGGTGTTGTCATCACAGGCTGGATAAAGCTTGGTTTGATTGCTACCATACCTCCTACCATTTTCATAAAATTCATTCAAATAGATCCCATAAGTTTCTTTTGATACCTGTTGTAGCATTCCGAATTTGAAACTGTCGTACATGTAAGGTTTTCTATGCGCGGTGGGTTGTAATAACTGGTAAATTGATTCTGACAGAACAAAACCCTGGGAATCTGTTTCTGTAAACTCGATACTTGAATCGAGAGCCTCCTGAAGCAGATTTACATAAGCCGTATAGAGTTGCGAATCTGGTGCAATATTGAATAAATTTCCCAAAACGAAGTTATAATCCACGGCATAGTTTTTAAATAATGTTGTGTTTTCCATAAATGCTGTTATTGATGTTGCAATAGTTTGTATTAATGGCTTCAGTCCAATCTCAATAAGATTACGAAGAGATAGATGTATGCTGCAGTGGCAAACATTACTAATATTTATCTTGGTTTTGCCATCCATTGCCAAATCTATTTTGGGTGATAAAAACTACATTTAATAAAATAAATATGATGAACTTAAGGATCTTTTTTAAAGCTGTAACTCAGGTATACTTACAATTGTAACAAGGTGGTGGTTCAGTTTTTCTAAAGCATGATGATAATTTTTTGATTGAAACAAGTTACAATCTATACTATACTCATTTTTGTGTAACGGACAATAGTCGATTGTACCGGTTGACAAAAAATGATTCCAGATTGTTTTACACAGCGTATGAATAACATTTTCAAATGGAACTAATTTATCCTTCACTATAATAGCAGATACATCTTCTTCAGATGATGCTATTTTAACCACTTGATTTAAAGATACGTATACGTTCGTTGGTTGCAATTGGGCTACCACGAAATATGATTTTAGTGCCAGGTCTATGTTCAGCTTACACTGAATTGCTTGTAAAATCCCTTCTCCCAAGACTACAACTCGTACTTTGGTATGATCATCTTCTTCTTGCACGATGCTGCTCCCAAATAACATCTTTCGTAGCTGCATTTTGGAGCCGAATATATCATCCAGAAGATTTTTTTCTACAGACATGACATAACCAGCATTTTTTCCGTCACATTCATTGGCTTTACATGATAGACTTGTTGTAAATTGGAAAAGTTGAGCAAGATACATCATCAAAAACAGGTGACTGTAGTATGGTTGACCCAGGGTTACAAAGACTATTGGATTCTGAGTATTTGATCTGGGTGAATGCGTACCTGATCCAACAAAAAAATCACGTAATTCATCCTTGTCAAGACATATGCTGATTCTCGTCCGAATTTTGAGCAAGATATCCTCGGTTAATTGTCCATCGGAGTTCATCTTTGCATTTAAAATGTCGGCAAAGGCTTTATCGATATATGACTTCATGTTGTTAGTGATACGGAGTATTGGGCGCTGGTGCAAGGCCAATCGAACGAAAAAATTATCCAGTGGTGGTATATTGCTATTGCGCATAAATGGTAAATTTCTTAATAATACAGATATGCCATCGGATTGCTTACCAGTAGCTATATTCAGAAGCGCTTGTAACGCAGTTATCTAAACCAAGTAATGCGCAAGACAACTTGACTTTCTGGGAGGAGATATCTACCTTGGGTAATATGCAGAGAAAAAAAACGGTGAGCTTACATAGCTAATAGTGACTCTGTGATGGCATTTTAATTCTTACAAATATAAACAATTTTGTCTATGTCGGGGTTTGCCGATGGCGTTATGGAAGGCGAGGGAGAGGATACCACTTTGAGGCTTGGTATAATTGACGGAGGTCTACGTGTGTTTGATAGTTGAATCTGGTCTTTTATCAATAAGTTGTTCCCTTCCAGCATATCACTCCAAGGAAACATCAAACTAAGATGTTGATTGTGTCCAAACGTCATCATGTTATAGTTAAGCTGCGTCACGCCATATTCTTTCAAGAATCCTCTTAACCAATTGAAAATCATCCACGAGATAAAACCGTCAAAGGTATAATCATAATGGAGGGTAGAAGGGGGTTGTATTTCATGTAGCATAAGAATCAATGTGCGTAGTTTATCGCCATAATAATACAACAGAGTGCTCAGATTGTTTATAAACAATGTTTTGATTATGTCAAATGTACTGACATGAATTTCTTCCATGGTGATTGATCGTATGATGTTTATCTTGTCTTCAGTCAGCTTTAAATCACCTATAAAAGATATTTTTTGGAAGGGTTGATATAAATGAATATGCTCATGAATGTGTGCATGCTTTTTTTCATCTTTTGAACAAACAAACTAAAATGAATTTTTTTAAAAAAAAAATCAATATCAGAAATATAGGATTTTGTGATAAGTAATTATAACCTCTTGAAGTTTATACTCATGTATCAATGTATCCAAGATCTCTCTTGTTCCTACTGCTGATGTATCGAATCCTTTTAACTTTAGACAGCTTTCTATGTCAATTTCTATCCGGGGGTCAATTAAAGTGCTGAAGCATATAGACTTTAAAAATTCAGTGACAAAATACTCTTTGATCGCCGTCGCAGGAGGATAATGAGCTGTAAATAAATCGATATTGACAGTAACCTTTTTCCCTGTAAACTTTAATCCGCACATAACATACTGTTTGCCATTTTCTATTCTTGTATTTAATAATCGCTCCTCATCACTGATAAGAGATTGTATGTATCCAAAAGATGTTTCGATCTGTGTAAAAAATAGCAAACGACTGTGGTGATCAGTTTCTTTAATCAGTCCAGCTTGAATGAAAAGCGGGCGAAGAAGATCTTCTCGTATTCGATCATCACAATTTGTGGGAAGGAAAAAAGCAAAATGAGACGGGGACGTTGATGTCTTCATGCCACCCATTTGCGATTGATACTTGTTTGTCACCTTTAATAAAAATAGTTGCACTGCATGTATCACTGTATTATCATGTACATCAAAATCGTTACACGAAAAAAAATTCTTTTTCCTGTGTACTTCAATAAGCTCGGTAAAAATATTATTGATGTAAACAGTGTCAGGATCGTTTTCGTCAGATTGGTTTCTTTTATCAGCTTTGTCTCCCCAGTCTAAAATTTGCCCAGTCGAGGGACAGTATAATAAAGATGCTCTTCTTTTCCTAAATTGTTTGATTATGGGTTAAAAGGATTCTTCTTTTTTTTTTACATAAAAACAAGTGTTACAGCTTACTGCTTGCAATATGAACTAGACTCCTCTTTGTATCCATTAAAAAAACAGTCTGTATATACTTGATCCTGGTCGAAACCTATTCCTGGTGGGTTAGTGGCAACACTTGCTCATAAGTAAAGTCTCTTACCAAAAGTGATACAGTAGCTATGTTGTGAAAAGTCGTAATATTTTTCTGTGTTTTTTTCCATTTTTTTGTAATAAAAAGATGAAAAGTAAGAGAAAAAGAAAAAAGGACGCAAGAATTAAATCGGTGTTTCTGAGGGTTGAGGCTGGGGACACAGAGATGAAAGTCCTGCTCTATGTGACTTTTCGATTACCATAATATTCGGGCCCGTATAGAGAGGCCATAATGAGATGTCAATAACATTCATCCTTGACTTTTATATAATAAACCTAGACACTCGCTTGTATATAACGAAAGTCATATATAACAATATACGAACTGTTAAGGAATAACCTGTCATTGAAGAACTCTTTAGTGTAATAACCAGCGTTCAAGAAGCCTGATGTGTAAGTTTGCAATGAACGATAATCATTTCTGTTTCAAATTTGTTACAATTTAAGTGATGAAGGTGCATAATATAATATGGCTTCAACAACCATCGAATTGTATTTATATTCGTTATTGTAAGTAATGTTTAATTTGACAATGGACGCTGATTATAAGTTTTTAATTGTTGTTGACACTCCTATGAATAAATGAAGCTGCATAAGCTTTACGCTTTTATTTAATTGACCTTTTGGAAACCAAGTACTTTTTAAGGATTTATAAAAGTAGGCGCGAAAATGAAGAAAGCTCCCTTTTTTTAAGGGGCTGTGTCAATGTTAAAGCCAGTAACGAATTATAAGAAATGTGTACGTAAAACGAAATTTGTTGTTCCTGGGCTTGATGTAGCATATTGAGAATACGTGTTTGAAATCTTCAATGGTACATCCCCTGAATTCAAGAATTTGACCTTGGTGAAAAAAAAAGAAAAGAAAAGAAGTATCCTTGTAAGGCAATAAATAAAGATGAGGTAGGCCCGAGAGAGTCTTCAGGTCTATTCAATGTATTTGATGTAGGAAATAAATCGAATTTGTTAATGGTTTTTAAAAGAGGAATATTAGAGGGGGGGGGGCATCCAGAAATCCGGACAAAGACGAACTCTGGTCACAAAGTAATGTATTGTTGACTGGTTAATTATGTTTATGTAAAAAAAAAAATTATCTTTTGGGCGAAGTGAAACTGATCAGAGTGTTATCTGACGTTCTTATCGGAGTAGTACTGTAATCATCGGACTGGTTGTAGAATTCATCTAAAATCTTGTCAGCGACAGTTCTAATCGAACTCTAAAGAAAGAAAAAGTTAAATGATATGATTTTTAAAAGGATAAACCGATTTACAAACCTGGAAATGATCCAGGCGGCGATCAGGATGTCGATACCATGTACGCTTGTCGGAAAACAGAATCGACTTATCATTACAAGTCGGTAGGATTTATAATAGGCCTTCACACCAAGACCGTCCAGACGGGTTTTATTCCCCCAGACGGTTTTTGTTCCAAACAAATAAGAAGACGCCAACACGCTAAGCTATCTGCTTTTTACTGCTTCGTGAATTAAGATTCCCCATAGAGAAGCGAGTCGAAGTGCAGGACATGGATGAGAGTCGGTCCTGCACATTTTTGTCGAACGATTATAATAGAAAATCAAAATCGTCCAGACGGTCTCGGTGAGAAGGCCTAATAGCGTAAATCCATGCAATACAATTCCGCACTGCAGCCTATGAAATTAATTTTAGATAAAAATATGTAATACGTTTCACAAAAGTACTCATTACCTTCAACCAACAACCCAAACGCAACTTTTTCCTCGATATTACCCATATGATCAAGTTCGTCCTTCAACATGTTACAAAGCTTAATAAAATCGGGATTTTGACAGCCGTTTGTCTGTAGATTCTTCATATGGCTTGATGTTTTGACTTCACAGACAAAAGGTATAGCTGCTTAAATGAACCATTGTATTTTCTTCCTCTTGCATTATCGTCTGATTTGACCAAGAGTGACATACCATTGAGATTCATTATTTTTTGAATTCCACTGGAACGGGTAACGGGGAATTAGGGTTCAATTCCGGAGAGGGAGCCTGAGAAACAGCTACCACATCCAAGGAAGGCAGCAGGCGCGCAAATTACCCAATCCCGATACGGGGAGGTAATGACAATAAATAATAATACAGGGCCATTATGGACTTGCAATTGGAAAGAGCACAATTGATATCCCTAAAGATCTTGCGGTGGACCGTTTTTCCTGACAATCATTTGTACCCTTCAAACAGATCAGGTATGCGTCCAACTTTGCCTCTTCCTTCTTAAGTTGCTTAGAGACAGCCTATGAAATTGCAGCCGGAGTCTCAGAACCGATTGACTCATCGCTACTTCTATAAATTAATGTCAAATGTCAACATAATATTACTTTGTTCAGAGCTCGAATTCTACGTACCCTTGAAGGAAAATATTGGAGTCATCAGTATTCAAAAATGGGCATAAAATCTTTTCAACAACTTGACTGATAAACAGTGGTTCCTTCAGCTTGGCAACGTCACTGTTGTTTAACGTTTGCATGCTAAAGAGCGCGGTTTTCTGTTAGAGAAGGTATTTTTTGAGTGCAAAAAAGAACTTACATGTTATAAAATAGAGTAAATCTTTCTCGTAACTTCAAATCATCATTGCAATTCGTGATTCATCTAAATATCTCATCTTCTGTCTTTGATAGGCTCCTTCTCATCAGCTGATTATTGAGCTTTGTTAGCAAGACAAATAAAGTAAAGAATGTGTGAAATTTACCTCCGAGATATCGTCAATATCTTTGTAATTATCATAGGTTTCACCTTCTTTATATGCACTGCATACTTCCTCCATTGCTAGTTTCCATGTGTCCTCCTTGCATAGGTAAGCTCGTCTATATCTATCATCTAGCCACATTATGCCATTTAGCGCCCTTTAGGTAACAGTGTTACGAGATTAGTTTTGTTTTAATAATATGAAGATGTATATAATTACAGTTCTTCTACATATGTAGGCCTAGCCGAGGTTTCCACATATGTTGGCGTAGCCGAGATTTCCACATATGTTGGCGCCGCCGAGGTTTCCACATATGCTGTCGTAGCCGAAGTCTCCACATATGTAGGCGTAGCCGAGATTTCCACATATGTTGGCGCCGCCGAGGTTTCCACATATGTTGGCGCCGCCGAGGTTTCCACATATGTTGGCGTTGCCGAAGTCTCCACATATGTTGGCGTAGCCGAGGGTTCCACATATGTTGTCGTAGCCGAGGGTTCCACATATGTTGGCGTAGCCGAGGTCTTCGTTAATATTGAAACCGTATTCCCAGAAAGCCAGCATCTGCTTTGTTCATGACATCTTTGAAATCCGATGTCAACAAAGCAAAATTGCTTCCGCATAATACAATTTGCGTATCGTGAAAGCAGATTTCGAGCATCCGGAAGGAGGAAACCGTTTAAAGACCTTTGCCGTTGCAGCTGCCTTTGTGAACAGCGAAACTGAAGATAACTACCAATGAATTTTGGAGGAATAAAGTGAAGTTGCTTGGCTGACTGAACCTAGTTTCAAGTTTCCTCCTTTGACTGAGGAGGCGTTGCTGGTTCCAACAATGTTGACGAGTGACATTTTGTAGGCATTTGTCTTGTAGGTGGCGTCAATTGTTATAACTTCGGGATAGCGTCTAGCTTTAGAAATTGTTTTCTCGCGAATGAAAACATCCCCTTTACTTCTTGGTTTTCGTTAACCTGGTTACGAATAACGTCCCCAAACTTTTACAGATCGGTAATAAGCGAATACATCTCTTTTCCTCCATTGTCGTTTAAATACAAAGATTGGGTGTTCTGGATATCTTTTTTGATGATGTTTTTTTTTAACATTCAATTTTTTCAAGGTCTAATAACGTATATGTAATGAGTACATGAGATATTTTGTGTTATTCAAAAAAATAGTTACATCCATAACACTGGTGACAGGGTCTTTAGGTCCACCGGACAAAAGAGAATAGATTATGGCCATAATTTCGGGTTTTGCTTACGATGAATGGCATAAGTTGCAACATCCTGCAAAATTGGATGATTGTGGATCATATTGTTCTTGCTGACAGTTAATCCAAACAAAGTAATGGAGGAAGGGCAAAGAAACTTTTGAGTACTTTTTCGATAAATTGTTCTTGCTTCAGGTACGGAAAAAACGTTTTCTGAAAGGTCAATAACAGTCGTAACTTTCTTTTCAAGATCTTGCTTAAAGCTACCATGCCTTCAGGTATAAGCATATTGACCTTTACCAGGATGAGAGTCTTTCATGGAAAAGATTGCCTTGTATTTTTTTCCAAAAGTACTGATCGCATTCTTCAGTTCTTCCCTTGTCTCAAAGCGTTTATGTACGATTGAATTCAGCATGCTGTCACGTACATTTCTAGTGTGACAGAACATTAAAATTAAATCAAAGAGAAAGCAGTAGCGCCAAGTTTGGAGAATGTCTACACCTACGTATATTTGTAAGTTTTTCTTCGTATTTTTTTTAGGTCACGTTATCCATTCTTTTTCTTACATACTCTTGATCTTTAGCCTTGTACGAACGACGATCCACTAAATTTTATTCCCCAATGTTTACAACTGGTAATGAGGAAGTATTAGTTATATTGAAAAGACTAGTTATAACTAGCTGTGATAACAAAAAATGAGAGTATATCTTTTTTTTTTTTTTTTTTTAAAAAAAAAGGTAATATTTTAGCGTATTTATAAAAAAACAACAATTGTTATTAACTAACCTTTTCCCAATTTTATTACTTCTTTTTAAAAAGACGGGTGTTTTACAGAATATGAATAAAAAAGAAAAAAAAAAGGTGAAGAGAAGGAGGGAATGAAAATAAGAAAAGGGTTATATTTATAGACTGATAAACAAGAACTAGTTTATGTCAGGATGATTTAATTATTTAATCAGAAGATCATGTGAACGTGTTTCATTTATAAGCTAATAAACAAGAGCAGGCTTATGTCAGGATGATTTGATTGTTTATCTAATCATGGGCAGTTCTAGACGCACCGAAATCGGGCTTCAAAATACATTTCTTATGTGATATATTCATTTTCGGTGCGCCTAGAATCCCCCCCTTTTTTTTTCGGGTGGTCTCTGTTTTGCATGGAGAACAAAATAAAATATAAACCAAAAGTGATACTGTTAGAACTTGGATACCACTTTATTATGGACGAAAAAATATAATTAAAAACGTATTAAAAATGTATTCCAAAAATGTCTTGATGGTCTATGAGAAAAAACTATGGATATTTATATAAAGAACTGGGATAGTTCTAAGGAGAATAGTAAGCGCCTTATTGGATCATGATGTAATAATCTGGTGATAGTAAATAATCAACATGTCTTTAAATTTAGCCCTTCCATACTGAATAAATAAATATTAGTAAGAGGGATCAACAGTTATAATCATCAAATGACAAGAGTAATATTTGTGCTCAGGATCTATTAATATTCCATAGTCCAGACCCATTCGATTGTATTGCTTTTGCAGAATAAATATTTACTCGCCACAGGGATGTGCCCTGTGTACAGACTCCAACGGTAAGATGAGAACAAGCGGGGTAATGTGTGATTCATGATTAACTTTTATATTTATTATCCATCCTTAAGGTGATTTGACAATTAACTTTATTATTATATCTATGATATCCTCAACAGTCTCCGGTCTTGTCATTTAATTTGAATCGCATTATGAATAAGCGAAGAAGTACTCTTTTCTACAATGTCCTTTTTAAAAAAAGGAAAATTTAAACGTCACAAACTGTTGACTAAAGAAAAAAATGAGATTTAAAGATTTCACTAGAGTAAAGTTAAAAAAAACAAAGTAGATCTTTGACAAAAAAAAAAAAAAAAAATTGAGTCCTTTTCCTCTTCAAGAAAATAATCAATATTAACAATTATAACAAAGAAGACGAAACCAGATTGAGTAGAAAAAATTATAATATTTCGTTTTTTTTTTCAGGCACACTTAATTTTTTTTTTGGCCGACCGCTGGGGTCGATTAAAAACTCTTATGTAACAGCACTTTAAGCTAAGCGCTACTGCTGAGGATGCTCTAAGATCTTTTTCAGCAAGCCAGCAAACAAAACACGAAACACTGAGGAGTGTCAATAGAAAAATCGATTAAAATATAAGCTAATAGAAAGCCAAGATTAATTTTGGCATGATTTCTCATTTTTATTAGGTATAATTAGGTATAATCAAGAGTTTTTTCATTCATATTCAAGATGTAAGCCTGGATAGCCACTCCCACACAAACCCCCCCCCCCTATTACCGGCCCTCCAGGCTCGAGGTCTGGTACACTATGCTCACAAACCGAAACTGGCCTGGTCCCGACTTGCTCACACTATCTTCATATGAAAATTCTGACAACGCGTCGCAGACGCACGATTTGGAACGCTAGCACACTTCCCTTCAGGTGTGCAATAGATTAAAGAGAAAGAGAAAAATAAGGGACGAAGTCGAAAAAAATGGACCTTCTTTCATAGTGGTTGCCACAGCAATCATGCAAATCTGACCTGAGTTTGAACACGAACAGTACTGGACAAAAAAAAGTCGCAGACTGTGACTTTGGCTCGCTCCACCTATGCCCTACTAAAATTTATTTGCCAACACTTACTCTTTGTTCGTGTTTAGAAAAAGTACAATTTGACATGATTTACCAGCGTCTAACAAGAGACTACAGACTCTTAAAAGTTTTGGAAATGTGTCATCTATGTCAATTGTGTGATTAGATAGCAAGTGAACGATTAGGAAGCAAACTCGTTTCTACGCTATTAACAAATCATGAATAAGAGTCTCTTACCGCAGAGAGTTGGCAATGAGGAGGAATGTTTTTCTTCTGGATCAAGAATCTGTGTAAGTTTTTTTTGCAAATCTTGATACCATTCCCTCATTTACGATAAAGTAGATCCAGGAACCAAATATCTTTTACAACACGGACAATCAAATACGCCTGTGATTGATCCCAAAAGGTTTGTAGTGAAGATTAAAATTACCGGACAAAAAGAGAGATACTCAAACACAAATACAGAAAGGGCTTAAAAAACTTAGACATTCAAACACATCCATGGTTAAAAAGATGTAGTGGCGACAATTGGAACAGAAAATATGAATTTGAGCGCATAATTAACTAGACAAACTTGTAGAGTTTGTTATAATGAAGGCCTAGACGAGATTGTTTATTATGATGGAGACCCTTCGGAAGCTATGCCTGAAGACGTTAAAGATAATCCTCTTGCTAAAAGTGAAGTGTGGTAATTTCTATGAAAAGGGAAATTGGAATATAGATACCAGTTACATATGGACAATGTGTTCAATACAAAGAGCTAGGCAGTCTTTTTTAGGGTTTATCTTTGATTGGTTGGTAACTGCCGTGTATCACACCGTGCAGAATCTATCCTTTTCAGTTCAAGTTGACAGCTTTGGATAATTATGACTTAATAGTCCGAGTTTTGACTGGTCAAGATATTTGGAATTCTGAACAAGGTAGGCTGAGCCGCTTTTTTTCTCTCTCTTTCTTGTATCAGGATGTGCTTCTACCTTCTCTTGATTTGGTCTGTTATGTTCGTTTGGGTACTTTGTAAATCAGTAGAAATGAACAATCTTGAAGTTATAAAATAAAATTCGTTAGTCTCACTTTACTTAAGAGCTGACCAATTGTTGTATTATTTTTGTATTATTTACTTTTATTATTACGTAAATGAATCCAACATCGATAATGCCTCAGGCACATTTAAAAAGCGTGGCACTATATACATATAATTTAAGATCCCGATTTAAAATTTAACAATCAAATTTTACATGTTAGCAAAGGAAAAAAAAAGGTTTACAAGACCATGATTAATGGGCCTCTATTAGACTGAGAGTAGTGATTAATTTTATATGCACCTAGCCATAAGTTTTTTTTTAGAAAGAAATCTCGGTTTTAATGGGTGCATGCAATGCACCGATCAGAGCAGCCATTTTCTATATAGTTGCTCCCAGTTTACTCCACTAGTTTTGATAATAAAGCGAATAATCATTTGTCTGATTTTTCTAGAATTGACAGTGACAGTATCTCAGATTACTGCAATGATGCCAACATTTATTGTTTCAAATTTAGTTTTCCTCCATTTATGCAAAATATCATAATCAGTCCCGATCAATATTTCTTGCCTATTAAGTTTTTAACAAACATGCACATTATGTACGTCATGGGCTAATTGCAAAAGAAATGTTTAAAATGATCAAGGATGAAAAAAAAAAAGAGCGTAGGCACACATGTGGGTCATATCAATCTGTACTTGTCAATTAAAGACGATTTACAAGCCATGGCAGCAATACGGGCTTGATATAAGATTTGGGATTCTTTTTATTTAGCAAAAACAATTGTGTGATTATTCGCATAAATGCAATAGTACATATACATCACTTCCGTATTTTTTTAATTATGCCTTACAAACCAAAGGCTTAGATTTAAAATCGAGTAGTCTATGAAAAAAAAACTCTTAAAAACAGAGATAAATTGCAGTAGATCTTTTTTGTTTTCGTTTCTCAAACAATTTTCTTTTGTTTTTATCAAAATGGCCGAAGCTACTCTTTCTTCAACCACTGTAACTCGATTTGATGGTAAAGTAGCTGTCATTACAGGCGGAAGTCGTGGTATTGGTAAAGCTGTGGCAGACAAATTAATCAAAGGAGGTGCCAAAGTTGTGATTGGTGATATCTTGGAACAGGAAGGACAAGCAACTGTTGACGAGTTCAACAAAAAGTAACTCTTTGGACAGAAAATAATGATTTATAATACCAGTATTGCTCACCATTCTTTTTTAAGTGCTGGCTCTAAAGTAGCTTCATTTATTCTTACAGATGTTACCAAATATACGGACAATAAGGCATTGTTTCAACATGCCGAGAGTGAATTCGGGGGTGTTGATGTAAGTGGCTAAAAACAAAAACAAAAAAACGGTGTATGATATTGAATCGTTCTTTCTTAAGATGGCCGTCTTAAATGCAGGTATCATCAGTAACTGCGACACTTTGTTTTCCCCTTTGGATGGTAAAAGATAGAATAAGCATAAAATATGAGATTGACTGATAAGCCGCCTGATAGATGATTTGGAAGAGAAAATATTTAATATAAATACTATTGGTGTCATCAAAGGTAAAATTTCTCTTTGAATAGTTGGACTGTACAGCTACTAAATATGAACTTTTTTTTTTTATCTAATTTACAGGAGCAAAAGTGGCTCTTCTTCACATGGCTAAACGCGGCGGAGGATCCATTGTATGCACTGCATCCTTGGCTGGCTTATATTGTCTCCCGTGAGTTATTGCTTTGCTGCATTGCTCTGTTCACTCATTTCCCTTGAAAAAAATAGGTTCTTTAATGCATACAATGCAACCAAACACGCTCTTGTTGGATTCGTAAGATCATGTCAGCAGCTCCCCGATATTTGTAACGTCCGTATCAACGCAGGTAAGAATATCATATATATCTGGATAAATCGCAAAAAATCGTTAAAACTGTTATTAATAAATCTCAAAAAGTTTGCCCTGGCTTTGTTGGTAATATACTCAAAAAAAAAAAAAAAAAATACAATATCACCTTTTAAACATGAATTAAACTCAATGAATTTATCTTTCTATTTTGATTAGAAACTGACTTGTTGAAAAACTTGGTTCTTGCAGAACCTTCCCTTGCAATCTCTACATGTAATCCTCGTGTACCATTGGAATACGTTGTTGATGGAAATATCATGTTTTTATCAGACACTACAAAAAACGGTAAAATCTAAGATGATAATACACCTAGTTGACTTACATTTTTTTTTTATATATCTAGCTAAAATATTGATGGTTTTACCTGATGGCCCTCAATTCTGCGAGGAACCTGAAATGCCAGGTAAAAACTAATGCATATTTATAAAAATGCTTTTTTTAACCCGCAAAAACTATATCATACACATAGGATCTATGATTAGTGAGGCATCCGAAAAGTCTACAAAGGAATATGCCAAAACCGTCGTACCCAATGGTAAAGAGAAACTTGCTAAAGCACTTCAAAACTACAAGAATGAATATCATTAAAAAAAGTGTTGTTTTATTTTTCTAATTATTTTTTTTGAAATAAAAAGAAAGACTTCAATATATAAATATAGGATGAAATTAGAATGCAGGAATAAATAGTAAAAGAAAAAAAGAAAGGAAAAGTTTGGGGATGAACATGATACGCCTTATCTATAAGCTTGACTCTTCCTCAGAATCCAATCTAGATTCTTTTGTTTCTGAAACCTCAAGAGGGATCCATATCAAATAAAGCACAAATGAGAAATAAATTATACTGAATAGAACAGCATACAGTGGCCAATGTAGTTCTTGAAGGTAGTTAAAGAATAGGTACACATTGAATCCAATGACTATAAAAGAAATCATCCAACACACATAGTTGGTTATTCTCGAATTCTTGAACGTATGAGTCATGATTTGACTAGACGCTGTTAGCTTTAAAATAGGTATAATAGCGGTGGGAAGGCAAAGACTATACACATTAAGAAAAAATAATTAGTACTCATGGATGATTTCACATGCGAATCCGGTACCTTTGTAAGACGTTTAAAAATTCACCCATCGTATCAAAATGATCCACAGCCAAAACGGCTACAAGCATACTCGGAATTAAGGCAATGGACCGAGTTAATGCGATACGATGCCATTGTTTTTTAAATATAGCTCCTAAAAAGCCCTCAACAACCTATTTATTACCGAAATAAAAAAATTGTGTTCAGCTCACGCGCATTATTTCCCCCCAAAAAAAAAGAACTTACATATTGTCCTGCCATTGTTCCAGTCATGGTTGATGATTGTCCGGCTGCCAATAATCCTAAAGCCCAAAAATATTTGGCGTTCTTTCCCAAGGTTTTCGATAGCACTTCCGATGCATCATATAATCCTGGTAATTCCATCAGCGCTTGTCCCGGTTTGTAAAAGACCTGAGCAAATACAACAACGATGGCTAGATTGATCAAATAGGATATAAACAGAGCTAATGCAGACTCGATTGCAAAATAATAATTTGCCTCCTTCTTTTTCTTGTCGGTTGGCACAGTTCCTATATTGCGGGACATGACCAGGGCACTAAATTGTTTATTAAGTAAAGCAACCACTTTGATTGACAATTTGAAAAAATAGAGTTACCTATGCAGAAACATGTTGTGTGGCATAATTACAGCACCCACCATTCCCACTGCTTGTACCGTAACTTCCTTTGGTATCTGAGGTACCAGGATACCTTTCAAGATCATTTCAATATTTGGTTTTGAAACAAACATTTCGATCCAAAAGCAAGCAATCATGATACCGATTAATGTCATGAAAAAAATCTCAATTTTTCGTACGCCATATTGTTGTAGCCACATGAATAAAAATGTGTCGGATGCTGTTATCAACACTCCCACCCATAACCTTGTTCCAAAAATAATTTTAATTGCAATAGCAGTACCTATGATCTCTTGAATATCCGAGCCGATAATAGCCATTTGTGTGAATAACCAAATGGCGGTGGAGGAAGATCGACTGTAATTTTTTCGGATGAGTTGAGCCAGATGATTTTGTGTTACTACACCCAATCGAGCCGAAAGAATTTGCATTGCCAAACCTGTTCTTTTTTTACATAAATACAAATTTTATCCTCTTATCATCATCTTCTTTTTACCTGCTGCATGAGACCAGAATAGTAACCATAAAAGTTTACAGCCTGCAACCGCACCTGATTGCAGATCAGACTCCAGGTTACCAGGATCCAAATAGGCAATGGCCCTATTAATCGCCCCCCGAAAAAAAATTATCAGCAACAACAAAAAAAAAGTTTGTGTCATATGCAGCAAAAATGCCATAAAGACTTACATTAGCCAACCTGAGAAAGAGAGAGAGATAAAAAAAAAAAAGTCATATTAATCTCGTATTTCTTATGGTAAGAACTCATCATGTATTCGTACCAGGGCCGGTATATTGCATTAATTTATGAATTGAAAATTTATCATCAACAGAGTCTCCCGTATCGACTTGTCCTTTTACATCGATTTCGACATTCCATTCGTACGAGGGATCTAATGTTTGGTACCCTTTGTGTCTATGACTCAGTAATGACTGAGAGGACGACAGAACAGTAGCTTCATCTTCACCTTGTATACCCATAATGATATATGTTTTTTTTAATTATTTAAAAAGGTATATAAAAAAAAACGGGGGAGAGAAAGGGAAAAGGACTTTCTGAATTATGTTTTATTTCATGTAAATTGAGAAACTTTTGCTAAAAAACGTCATTGGGACGTTCTTATTGGTCTGTCTCACCTCGT